AGCAGCAGCAGCAGCAGCAGCAGCAGCAGCAGCAGCCAGGTGCTGTAATCCTAGCTACTCAGGAGGGTGAGATCTGAGGATCACCGTTCAAAGCCAGCCTGGGCAGGAAAGTGAGACTCTTATCTCCAATAAGCCACTAGAAAAATAGAAAATTGGAAGTGGTAATGTGGCTCAAGTGGTAGAGTGTTTGCCTTGAGCTGAAGAGCACAGGGACAGTGTCCAAGCCCAGAGTTCAAGACCCACAACTGACCAAAAAAAAAAAGTGATTCTTGATATTCTGTATGGTTAAAATCTCAGACAAATCAAATTCTAGGAAAGATTTGCTATTTGAAACTTTTGAGATGATTCCTATTGAAATGTTAACAATTTGTTAAATATAAAATAATGTTTTTTTTTCCCTAAATGATTCACCTTGGTTTACACAAAAGGCCTCTGAGTACTCTTAAATGTAACATTGTGAAAGAACTAGGTCTGTCACAATTGGATGTCTACATTCCATTTCTGTTCTGAGTTATCAGTTAAACAGTATCCTCAAGCTGAAGAATCATTTTTTTGTAAACTTAATTAGTTACTCAAATTTGGCTAAAAAGTGCTCTTCCCCCCTCAGCCCTACCCCCTTTCCTCTCCTTCCCCCACCCCACCATCTGACCCACCGTCCCCTATGGGACAAAAGCACAGGTTGATCAACCATCCATGTCTTCAGAGAAATCACAGGAAAGCTTTCAAATGGAACTGTTCGGCCAGAAACAGCTAGAGCTAAAGAAATGCTTTCTCTCCTTCCACCAGGTGGAGCTACAAGCTATCATCAGACTTGGTTCCTACTGGTTTTCTGCTCTGCAATTTGCTAAGGACCTACTTTCAGAACGAACATCTGGGTCTTTTTTCACTTGGATGGTTCAAGTGTCCTCAGTGAAATCCACACACCATGCAGTAAGAGTCAAATGGAAGACATGACATCTCAAATCCCTCTGAGAGGGATTCTCAAGAGCACGAGGAATTAGGATCTGTCTTAAAAAAAAATGTCCTTTTCAGCGGCAGTTTCCTATAGGAAAGCTGGCAGTGAAAATGGCCTACCTCCTAAATCTGTGGTTTCTGGAGCCAAGAGAAGATTTACCTCCCAGTTCTTGGGGCTCATAGCTAAATCTACACATATGTGTTTCCTGTCTTTGGTTGTATACTTTCATTTTCTATCCATCAACCCATCCATCCACCCACCCACCCACCCACATATCCATCCATCCATCCATCCAACCATCCATCCATCCATCCATCCATCCAAAGTATTTTCTCTTAATGCAGGTGAGCTTTTGGTCTCAAAGCCAGGTCTCACGGTGAGAGCTCCCCTAACAGTTCCACACCAGCTGTAAGCTGAGTGGTTACCTGGCCTTCCTAAACACTTCAGTTCCAAACCAGGCCCTCTATAATTGGCATGATAATAAAGTTTCTTCTGCTTTAATCCTGACAAAAGAGAAACCTGATATTAACCTGTAAATTTTTTTTAAATTTTTAGCCACAGTGCTACTTCCTATTTTCTATTGCTTTGGTAAGTCTCATAGACTTTCCTGTCTAGGCTGGTTTCAAATCTTAGCCTCCTGAGTAGCTAGGATTACAGGCGTGAGCTACTGGTGCCCGACAAGCTTTTTTTTTTTTTTTTAAACTGGCCTGTTTTCCTGTTCCAGGGCTTACTGGGAAAGTAATTGAAATAATTTTGCTTTCTGTTCTTTGTTTCTGCTTTCTTTAGCCCTTCTCTAAAACCAACCAGAACACGTATTCCATTGTATGGAATGAAGTATTTCCTGATTCTTCTTTTTTTTTCCCTTCCGGTTGTGGGGCTTGAACTCAGGGCCTGGGCACTGTCTCTCAGCTCTTCAGCTCAAGGTTAGCACTACCACTTGAGCCACAGTGCCACTTCTGGTTTTCTGAGTGGTTTATTGGAGATAAGAATCTCTCATACTTTCCTGCCCAAGCTGGCTTTGAACAGTGATCCTCAGATCTCAGCCTGCTGAATAGCTAGGATTACAGGCGTGAGCCACTGGCGCTTTGCTATTTCCTGATTCTTAAATCACAAATTAAGTCCACTAAAAATCTCTAAATTGGGAAATTGAGGCAGGAGGCTTGCAAGTTCAATGTCAGCCCGGGCAACTTAGTGAAACCTAGTCTGAAAATAAAATTCAGAAACTGGCTGAGGATACAGATTAGTGGTCTTAAGGTGTTCAGTTCTCAGGAAAACAGGGCCTGGGCTCTGCCCCTGAGCTCTTTTGCTCAAGGCTAGCATTCTACTACTTTGAGCCATAGCTCTACTACCAGTTTTTGAAGTTAATTGGAGAGAAGAGTGTCATGGAAACTTTTCTGCCCCAGCTGGCTTTGAACCATGATCCTCAGATCCCAGCCTCCTGAGTAGCTAGGATTACAGGCATAAGCCACTGACACCCAGTTTGAAGAGTCGCTTGTAAGAAAAGGAAGTCACACAGAAAGATTTATGCAGCAGATTTCTGCACGCTGAGAATGGTGAGGAAAACCGTGTATGGCTCCAACGTGGTACAAGAGCCTTCTTCAGTGAACACTGCCCAAGACTGCCCGCTCCCCTGTCAACAGCGAGGATGAGACTGTACCGTGGTTCATCATCAGCAGTGACATCCCTTAAAGATGGATGGCACTGTAGGAAAAGTATGTTCACATACAGACCTGCAGGTCTTTTTGATCCTTCTTGCTTTCCAGGGTGGGGGTTCTTGTTATGAAGTCATACAGCATGCTGTTGAGAGACAATCAGCTTCCCATCAAAAAGTGCTGCAGAAATAAAACACGTCACATCAGAAAGCACAACCTCTGTGGGAAGCCAGTGACAGGATACCTGAGAAGCAGAAAATATCCTGGTGGGGCAAGGTTCAGCTGCGCAGACTCCTTCAGTACTCCCAACAGCGAAGGGAAGTTCTCTTGCAAGTCCAGAACTGGAAGTCTGTTTTTAAAAAAATAGAAAAAAAAATACCAACTGTGAACTGAAAGTAGAATATTTACTTCCTAAGCAAATTTTAGATCCACAAGTTTAGAACACAGGGGAGGAAACTCATTTTTGTTAGTGCAACTTAACTGTACAAAGAGATTTTACTGTGATCTTTCCAAACACATATATGATGAACTCGCATGGAACTCACTCCTGTTATGGCTCTTTCACAACCTCTAATCCTTCTGTGGAGGGTTTCAGTAGTCTATTCTCATGCCTGGCATGATGTCCTGGATCACATTCACCCCTCCACACTCTTGTCTGCCTCCCTCCTGCTGGTTTCTAATCTCAAATAGTCCCTGAGGGGAACAGTTTCACTGGCCTGGTACTTGCTTTGCTTTCTGTTCGTTTTATCACAGTAGACACAAGCTCAACTTTGGTATTTGGGCAAGCACTTGGATGTCTATAATCCTAGCTACTTGGGAAGTAAAGATTGGGGATTATGGTTTGAAGCAATCCAGGCATCAAAGTTCTCAAGATTCAATCTCAACCCATGGTTGGGGGTACAGTGATACATGCCTGTCATCCCAGTGACAAAGGAAACAAATAGAAGAAGTGCAGCACAGGCTGGTCTGGACGTAAGCAACACCCTATCTCAAAATGACTAATGTAAAAAGGGACCGCACAAGGAGTGGCACAAGTGGTAGAGCACTGTTTAGTATGTGGGAGACCATGAATTTAGGTAGCATTCCCCCATGCCCCCCCAAAAAAGAAAGAAAACCAGATGTTGATTAATTCATGGTCACAACAATGGCACGTACAATCCCGGAGGGCTCGTGACGGGACTACGTTACCTCTGGATGAAAACATAGCAAAACTGCAACACAGGGATATCCACTAGGGGAGATTTCTGAAAAATAAAGCAAAATCCATTACTCCACACTGGTAGGAAGTGAGACTATCAAACAATTTCAACACAAAAGGCAATGTCATGTACCTATCAAATCAAAGGTCTAAGCCAATATCCCAATACCCGACTATAAGCACCTTCCCTCCCTTGCTGACAGCATTTTTTTTGGTGGGGGGGGTCCAGTTGTAGGGCCTGAACTTTGGGCCTGGGTGCTGTCCCTCAGCTCTTCAGCTCATGGCTAGAGCTCTACCACTTGAGCCACAGCACCACTTCTGGCTTTTTTTTTTCTTTTTTTGGTCGGTTGTGGGGCTTGAACTCTGGGCATGGGCGCTGTCCCTCAGCTCTTCAGCTCAAGGCGAGCGCTCTACCACTTGAGCTATAGCGCCACTTCCGGTTTTCTGGTGGTTTATTGGAGATAGTGGGGCTTGAACTCTGGGCATGGGCGCTGTCCCTCAGCTCTTCAGCTCAAAGCGCTCTACCACTTGAGCTATAGCGCCACTTCCGGTTTTCTGGTGGTTTATTGGAGATAGGAGTCTCATGGTCTCTCCTGCCCAGGCTGGCTTTGAACCTTGATCCTCAGATCTCCGCCTCCTGAGTAGCTAGGATTACAGGTGTGAGCCACCAGCGCCCGGCTCTGGCTTTTTTCTTATGTGGTGCTTAGGAATCGGACTCAGGACCTCATGCATGCAAGGCAAGCGCTCTACCACTGAGCCACCTTCCCAGCCCCGGCAGCATTTGTTTATGAAAAGCTTAAAACTATAAATGTGCCCTTTCAATGTGTGTCTTCTGCAACTCAGGAAATGTCTCTCTCGACCTAGGGACCATCTTTGGATGTATAATCACCAGGAAAGACCAGCCTCAGTCTCTTGGCCTCCACAGAAGGGTGGGAAGCAGCAGATGGCCCGGACAGCCCAAACACAGTGACCCCACTCCTTGCACACACCTGCTTTTCTCTGAGTGCCCTCTCTCCCTGGCTCCTTGCCCTTCCTTCTCCCTCTAATCGTTCTGCACAGGTCAGAGTTGAGCCCAGCTCCTTCCCCACTGTGGCCACCGTGATATACATCTGCCAGTACCATCTTGGGCAGAGGCTGGCTGGGTTTACTTGACACCTTTAAGACTGTAAGTTCTTCGAGACAAGTGCGTTTCCTCTTTCTAAATGACATTCCAGGAGGTGCACAGAAGGTGCTAACAACAAACTGGAACACCAGGCAGTTGGGAGTCAGGGCAGTGGGATCTGACCTCAGGTGGCTATTGCTTCAAAGAGCAGCACTGGAGCAACCAGCCCAGGAATAACACATGCCAGGAAGTCCATCCTGCTCCCGCCCGCTGCTCTTCCCTCCTGGACACAATGTGCAGAGAGGAGCATTAGCAAGAGATTCCCCAAGCTCACCTCATCCCCTTTGATTTGTGGTGGCCTCTTCACCACCTCCTTCACCAGATGCAGCACTGTGTCTGTCTGCAGGGTGCTGAGTGCACAGATCAAGTCAACCAGGGTGAGCTGGGACATGGTGGCCACGGGGACTATCTGCCAAGAAAAAGTAACTCCTCGAAGGCTGGCACAGAGGAAATAAAAACAGAAGCATTCCACGTAGCTCTTCTCAGAGAAAGAAGTAGTTGGCTTTGATCTTTGAAACCTTGCACTTGGTTTTTCTTTGAACTATGCCTCAGGTTCCAACATTTTGCTTAGTAACTGGAGATTAGACTTTTGGAGATGAACTTTTCTTCCTGGGCTAACTTCAAACCAGCCATGCCCCTCAAGATCTTAGCATCCTGAGCAGCTAGGATTACAAGTGTGAATCACCAGCATCCTGCTCTGTCTCTCTGTCTTTGTCTCTCTGTGTCTGTCTGTCTGTCTGTCTGTCTGTCTCTCTCTCTCTCACACACACACACATTTTTGAAACCAATATTTTCTACTGAGCTGGGAAAAGGAATATGCCTTGGTGGGTTTAAAGCAAGGAAAGCCTTCGGTATGTGCCATAAATCAGGAAGACAAGGCTACGGGCAATAGTGATGGTACATAAGAGTAAAAAGTATTTTAGAAACAGATGCACTGCGCTTGAAGGAGCTGGAACAAAGAAATGAAACTGAAAGCATGAAGATAGGAGGGAACACTCCAGGCAGATCAAGTTCAGGCTGGCAGGCTCTGGCAGGAAGAGCACACTTTTGCCCACAGAGGTCTACATATCATAGTCACAAGAACTTGGGGAAAACAAACAAACCCAGCTAGTATCAGGTTTACTGCTGGGAGAGCATCTCGCCATGTGAGGAAAGGTGATTGGGGCCTCACTGCTTGCTCTTCTCAGACAGCAGCAGCCCATCTTGGCCATGGAGGCTGGGGCACTGGGGTCATCTAGGAGGAGGCACCCCCTCCCCACCCTGGTAGAATAATGCAAAGTGTGTTGGCTCTGCAGCCGTAAGTAAACTAAGTGCTGGAGGACATCCTGATGGACCACTGGGACAACAACGAGTGGAGCAAATCCAGGGCGAAGTCATCATTCATTCACTAAGAAGAATCGTTCATTCCTTATTATAATCAGGGACAAGTGGTACTGTCCTGCATTAGAGAAGTGTAAGTGGAACCAAGGAATGGGAGGACAGTGGATTGCTTCTTGGCTGGGTGAGATGGTCACTGCACTTTAAGATGTGTTTTTGTTTTGTTTTTGGTGGTACTAAGGTTGAACGCTGGGCTTTGCATTTGCTAGGCAGGTTCTATAGCACTTGAACCATCTTTCTTTCCCTTTTTGCATTTTTTTTTGTTTCGTGCCAGTTCTGGGACCTGAACCCAGGGCATGAGCACCATCCCTGAGCTTTCCTGCCTGGGCTGGCTTTGCACTGCAATCCTTAGATCTCAGCCTTCTGAGTAGCAAGGATTACAAGTGTGAGCCACCCTTACCTGGTGTGCATTGATTATTTTTGAGAGAAGGTCTTGATTTATGCCTGAGCTAGCTTAACTGTGATCTTCCTATTTGTGTTTTGTGTCAATGGGCATGTACGACCATGCCAAATCATTGGCTGAGATGAATTCTGACAAACTTCTGCCTGGGCTGACCTTGAACCTCTGACTTCTCAATTTTGCCTCTTGAGTAGTTAGGATTATAGGCTTAAGCTACTTCACTCAGACATTTCTTAATTCTTTATAATAGACAATGTTCTCTGCAAGAGTGCAGGCATGTTAGATGAAAAGAGGCAAAAAGAAGAGAATTATATCCATTAGAAAAACTAACAAATGGAAGGCAGAGGTGGGCTCCTCTCTGCGCATCAAACCCGATTCCTGCTGTTTCCCAACACAGCGGTCCCCACGCTGGCCCCTGTGTCCCCTGAGTTTCCAGGGCTCCCTGGTTTTTTGTTTGTTTGTTTTTAAGCCAAAGTGAGTTTACCTTCATCTTGCTGTGGCGCTGAGCTCTCTTCCTGCTCCACACTGCTGCAACTGCGGCTATCAGCTGGACCCCGAGATGGGCTGTCAAGGGGTTTAGGAAGTCCAAAATCTTTTGTCTTATGGTCTAGAAAGTAGAAAAAAAAAAAGATCTGTTGCAGAATAAATAATATCAGAGCTCTCATGGAATCCACATTTAGCTACTACCTATGGTAGGTACTGAGTGCAAGGATCTATGGTGTCAGTATTCAAACAGCAGGCTTCACAGCTGGGTGGGAAGAGGGGGGACAGGAGCCGCCATTAAAGGAACTGGATGGGAGATGGCGTCTGCTGCCATGCCAAAGGGAGCGCACTGTGACGTGCAGGGATGTGGCTAGCCAAGCTGAGCAGGAGTCCCAGGAGACGATGGATACCTCCCCCTCCCCACCCCATCGGTGAGTGGGATGGGGCTGGGCTATTTTTTTTTTTTTCTAGACAGCTGGGAATGGAACATAGGGCCTGGTGCATGCCAGGCAAACTCTCATGCCCCAGCCTGGGGTGGGGTCTTGAAAAAGCCACACAGACTTGGCAGAGGTGGTAAGAGGGGACCCAGGCAGCTGAGCCCTCTTTCTACAGCCTTAGCCTGGCCTCCGGCAGCCAGGGGCGGGCTTAGGTTCATTAAGTACCATTTCGCTACTTGTTACTTAGCCAACTTAAAGTAAACTTGCGACCTCTCCCCAGATGGATCTCCTTATTCTGTCACCCTGCCTCTGGTGTCTCACAGGCTTTTCCAGCTTCTGAAAGCTGCTACGACCCTAGTTGGTGAAGCCGGCTTCCTTCCCAGCTGGTTAAATGTCCCCACTCCAGCGAACCTGGGGTCTCAGCAGGCCAGTCTGCCTCAGGATCAGCCTCAGGATCTCTCCCCTCCCACAGCCCTAGACAAGGTCAGAGCATTTGCCTTTCCTTGAAGAACTTCTCTCCCCACCCCCCACCCCCCCTGCTGGCCTCTACCAGGAGGGCAGGATTCCATCTATCTTGTCCACAGACAGAGGTACAGGGCCTGGTGCACACAGCAGGCACAGGAACACGGTGAGAAAATGCATACCGAAAATGAGAACCAGTCCTCATTACCCATGCTTAGACTACCACAGACAAAGTGAACCTAGCATGGAGCTGTCCCCTCCATTCTACCAGGTTTGTGCTCCAGAAATGCCTCCTTGGGTCCCACTCCACCACTGTGGAAGGGCTAAGAGTCAGGAACTCAGTCAGTAAGTACCCACCAACACCATAATTCATCTCCACTGGTCTGTAGGTGAAAGACTAGCAGCAGCCTATCTTACAAGTGAGGAAATGGAGGCCTAGACAGGCTGAGTACAAAGGCTTTTTCTGAACTTTTTCCCAGCAGGCTTGAACTGCTATGCAACTCCTCAGAGACCCTTTGGCACTGAAAGAACATTCTGGAAGCCACCTATGTATCACACCATCCAAATGCCTGAGCCACAAGGAGAAAGGTCCCTCACCTTGGTGGTTTTAAAGTAAACAGAAGAAGATCCTTTTGTGGTTCCCAGGAGATCCACAGGTCTCTTCTGAGTCTCCTCCTTTCTGAGAACATTCCAGAGAAGGGCCATGGTATTTACAATTCGAGGAAGCTCTTCTAAAATGGCATTCTTGGCATTTCTCATGCTGATGGGGTCACTTGCAGCAGTAGCCTGAAAGTTAAAATGGACAAGTGAGACTTGGCATCACCAGAGCTTTTCTTCAGGGTGCTGCCGGGGCTCGGGTGGGCGACGGTCTCTCCAGCGAGTCATGCCAGTGCTGTCTGGAAGTAATACCCACTTCTGTCTGTTTCAATCTTGGCTTTCTTTCAAAGAGAGACAGCTGGGAGGGAACTCTCTAGATTACAAACTCTTTCAATGATCCACTCAAAGCAGTGGGTGTATTCTAAGATTTAATCCCAGCCCTTGTACCGCAGCTAACATCGATGATGACTCCCAATGCAGATTTAACAAGCACCATACTAGCAAGTACAACAGTAAGAAAATGAGCAGAAGCCTAACATCAAACAAGAGCCTTTACATTTCTATTATGTCGTTTCTGACAAAACAAGCGGCAAGGGCTGAAGCCCAGAGTGAGGAGCGCTAGATCAAAACCAAATGTGTGTGCCTTAACTACACATCTGCACAACTCACGTAAATACATTATTACATCATGTTCTTCCTCTGAAACAGTCGTAACCCAATAAAGACACACATTATATGCCAATTACCCCGAGCACAGGAAAAAAATAAATGAAAGTACCTTTTTGGTTTGGTTGGGTTGTTCCAAAAGACAGAAATGACTGATGGTTGTTAGACCCTCTAGAAGAGTAAGTGGATAATCTGGAGAAATGTTTTCCTTCTTTGAGGTTGAGCTTTAATGAAGAAATGAGAGACTGATTTAGAGAATTTTAGAGAATGGAACCATCAAAGTTACAATCTGACACGCAAACATTGAAAACCCTATCGTAGGTGAACTTGGACTCTCCTAATGAAACAGCGTGAGAATGACTGGTGCTATTTTATGGTCACAGTCACTTTGGAAAAATGGTTTAAGATGTTTGCGAGTTGCAGAGGAGGTGATTCTGCTTAATGTTTATCTCTGTTTGGCAGAACCAACTGACTTGGAGAGAGACGTACTCACACAGAAACCCTGACTAGCCGGAGTGTGTAATGACAATAGCAGCCAGGCTTCTGAGCAGGCTGAGTTGTCCTCCAGCAAACACTGTCATGGAAGTATTGTGCTGCCTCCAAGCCTTCCACATACCTGATGGACAGCTTCACAGACTCACATTCATACTGCTTGACCAGCTCGTCCAGGTTTTTGCAAATCTGGACCACAAAGGGTGTCACGGTCCAGCCAAGAGACTTTCCAAAGTACGGCAAGGAATGGGTGACCAGGCTCACCCAGGCGGGGTGCATGCCATAGCCGTAGGCCGGCTGCAGGCCTCTCACCACTGCGGAAACCAGAAGGCCCTGGGAGGTGAGAGGGTGGGGCTGCACGTACTGCATGGCGCCGATGGCTTGCTGGAAGTTAAGGGCCTTCTGCCATTCCCGGGATAGGGCAGGCTGGCTTTCGGCCTCCTCCTGGACCTGGCCCAGGTGGTGCTCCAAGACAATGAGTGCCTGCAGGAGCTTGAGCAGCTCGATCTGCAGTGGGTGTTCACTCCAGATCTGGTCCTGCCCCAGGTTGATAAGGCTCTCTTCAAACAGACTGTCCTCCAGCAGGGTGCGGCCGCGGTCTGCCACGGCCAGGCCGTAGCGCTTCTGGCTTGTGTACATGGACGCCGAGAGGGAGAGCAGGACGAACTCCTGCACCTTGCACCTCTGCAGTAGGCTGTGGATGAAGTCCACGTTCTTCCCCTCGGCGGACTTGGCCACCGACACCAGCTGCGTCATGATTCGAATGAGCACCTCGACGCTCTTTACCTGCACGTCCCGGTTCCCGAGGATGTCTCGGTGGCACACCTTTAAGTAGCAAGGGTAGTAGGAGCGCAGGAAGCTCAGGCAGAGGTAGGTGAGGAGCTCGATCAGCAGGGAGTGGGGGCACACGTTAGGGGCCTGGGTCTGGAGCTTCCCATAGAAACTCTGCCCCACAAGGGCCTCCTGGTGGCGCGCGAGAAGGTTGGAGATGAGATTGAGGTGCGCGGTGGAGCTGGTGTCCATGCTGGTTCTGGACACGGCCTCGATGAACTCCTTTGGGTTGGTCTTCAGCACGGCCTCCAGCACGGAGAAGGCGTACAGAACCCGCCGGGAGTCGTAAGGCTGCAGGTAGAGCAGGATGTGCTTGAACAAGGCCTCGAGGGTCTCCTGCCTCTCCTTCTGCTGCTTCAGCAGCCGAGATGTGGTGAGGGCCTGGAGCTCCAAGTCTGCCTCCTCGTCACTCGAGAAAGACTCCGAGGCCTGTGTCTTGTCCGAGTCCACCCTCACCAGGCCCAACTTGGCATTGGACTTGAAGTTTTCTGACTGGGAGGCTGCCAGCAAGACCGAGCGTTTGGGGTACGCTCTGCCCCCCATGGGGAGGGGCGCGCAGCAGTTCTCCTCATGGCTCAGCTCCTGTGGGTCGTGGGAGGGGGAGGAGAAGGTGGACGTGTTCTCGCTGTCGGTGTGGACAGAGCTGGTATCTGCAGACTCGGTGTGCTCGCTGCTGTCCGCGGTGCCCGAGGCTGTCCTGTCGGGAAGGTCCACGTAGTAGGGCAGGTCTTCCTCACTCAGCTCGCTTCTTGGCAGGCACTTCTCTGGTTCCTTCTCCACTTCGGCCCAAATGGCTTCTCGATCCACTGTGGTGAGCTGGCTTAGAGGGAGGGGCTCTTCAGAACCACTTTCCTGGAGCTCAGACACCCAGGAAGCCTCTTTATAAGGAGGCTTCTTCCGGTTAAACCAACGATGCAAGTCCTCTGGAAAGCACAACGTGACAAATGACTTTAGAACAGAGAGGCTAGCAATGATGAATGTGCTGTCTTGAAGCCAGAGAGAACAATCAGTATTAGTACAATTCCCCCACAAATCCAACCAGCCTAATTCCATGAGAACAGAGGGGGAGACATAGGAAAATGAGTCTGTATTGTAGAATGCGCAAAGGATGGGGCAATTCAGTCATGCTCTCACAGAAATGCTAAGTTATCACCACATTTTTATGGGCAGCAATTAAAAAATATTTGTGATGTTGTTCCAAGAATTCCCTTTCTAGAAAGATATCCCACAGAAATGCCGGTAAAAGGTCTCACAGTGCTAAGATAAGGGTCTTCATTGAAATGCTGTGTGTGAAGACAAACTACTGAGTGAACTGAAGATCAAAGAAGAGGACTGCAGTGAACACGTTAGGTCCACGCACTCGGCAGACTCCTGCTCGGGTGCTTAAACGTGTGTTCCTTTGTGCTGATAAGATCAGTGTGCAGGACTCAGTACAGGGAAGAGCGGAAGCACAGTGGTGCGGACGGGACAGTGTCTGTCTAACCTGCAGGTGGCGCTACCACAGACTTCCACCTGTGCTTCTACTTCCTCATTAACCCTTTTGAAAAGAGGCACATTGACACTTCTGCAGCCAGGACATACACAGCCCTCTTAAATACTCAGCTCTCTTTAGTGAAAGGCGGAAATCTTTGGTATTTCCAAATGCTGTCTATTGGTAGCTTTTAACAAATGAATGCCGTAAACCCCGAGCAAGAGTTCATAAAATGAAGGGAAAGATGAATAAGATATTAGAAATAATGGCCTGCTTGAGGTTAATAGTTTAACATTTTACAAATAGATTGCTACGGGATGGTAGGAAGAGGAAGGGGTAGGTAGTACATTTCTTGATTCCTTACAGAGAAAGAAAATGGCAGAGCAAGGATATCTTCTATTAGAAGGGTTCCAGCTCTGTAAATGGATAGAAAACATGTTAAGAGGAAGAAGAGAGGCAGGATTGAGATTTTCTAAACCTAAAAAAATCAATGGAGTCCAAACTTTCTTCTAAAAAAGAAATGTACTCAATATCTGTCTTATGTAACTGTCATCCCTCTGTATATCAGCTTTATAATAAAAATAAAAATAAAAACAGGTACAAATATCTTAAATGTAGCTGCCATGAAAAAAAAAGCCACTCCTGTTTTGTTTTGTGTGGGTACTGTGGCTAGAACTCAGAGCCTCCTACTCACGGCTGGCACTTTTACACTTGAACCATTCCTCTGGTTCCAACATTTTGCTGGTTAATTGGAGATAAGACTTTTGGAGATGGGCTTTTCTGCCGGGGCTAGTTTCAAACCCTGTTCCTCTAAATCTCAGCCTTCTGAGTAGTTAGGGGTTACAGGGTTGAGCTCTCAGCCCTTAGCCCTGGCTAAGAATCCTTATTTTTATTCAAACATGATTGATTAAAAATAATTAGTCAAGGGCTGAGAAGGTGGCTCAGTGGTAGAGCGCTTGCCTTGCATACCTGAGGCCCTGGGTTCGATTCCTCAGCACCACATAAGCAAAAAGAAAAAAAAAAGCCAGAAGTGGCACTGTGGCTCAAGTGGTAGAGCGCTAGCCTTGAGCTAACGAGCTGAGGGACAGCGCTCAGGCCCAGAGTTCAGGCCCCATGACCGGACCCTCCCCCCCAAAAAAATAGTCAACAAATCATACTTTTATGGAGTACAATGTATTGTTTTTAATATGTATATATTATGTGGTGGCTATATCTATAATCATAGCCACTCTAAGGTTGAGATTAGCAATTCAGTCCTAGTCTAGACAAAATGTCTTAAAGACACCAACTCAATCAACAAAGAGCCGTGTATGGTGGCATGCAATTGTTACTAGTTATTTGTAAAGTATATATAGGAGGATCATGGTCCAGGCTATCCCAGGAAAAAGACCCTATTCAAAAAATTATGAAACATAAAGAACTAGAGGTATGGATAAAGTGGTAGAGAGACTGTCAAGCTTGAGGGCCTGAGTTTAAATCCCAGTACCATGAAAGGAAAAGTATATATGAAATTATTTTTTTAAAACTTTGTTTGGGTCCGGTCGTGGGGCCTGAACTCTGGGCCTGGGTGCTGTCTCTCAGCTCTTCAGCTCAAGGCTAGTGCTCTACCACTTGAGACTGTGCGCGACTTCTGGCTTTTTTCTTTTTGCTTATGTGATGCTGAGGAATCCAACACAGGGCCTCATGCATGTAAGGTAAGTGCTCTACCACTGAGCTACCTTCACAGCCCCATGAAATTATTAAATCAAACAAACATAGCGCCTCTCGCCATTTTCTAGTAGTGAGGATGGGTAAAACCTACTCCCACCGAAGTAGAGAATAGAATATGGGGGGAGCAGAGGGAAGAAGAAGGACAGAAGCCAAAGGCAGGAAGATTTAGTTGGATGGGAGGATTCCGTTTTAGTGATCTACTGCACAGTATGGTGGCCACCATTAATAATAAACACATTTCAAATTTTCCTTATTTTGGAACAAAACTCTTCTGGTGTTTTTAGTGAAAACAACAATCCACTAACAGTTCTGAGTGCTAATTCTGATTGCTTAAAATTTCATAGTACCCACAGCTGACAAGGCATTTTCAAGCCATCTGAATCTAGCAGGACTGCCAAGTGGGGCTAATCCCTGAACTGTGGCCGGGGCAGTGGAGGGCCTCCCTCCCGTGCTGGGGACCCTGAGTCACAGCTCACCAGCTGAGTTCTCCTGTTTCAGGCAGTGGATGGAAGTCCTCTGGGTTTTGGGCTGGAGCAGCAGCAGCAGCACAGGTTCAAGGATGCGTGCCACGTCCCCAAGGGAGAGTGCACGCACCAGCCAGCACTGGGCCGCAGCACTGATGGCACCGTCCGTGCAGGCCAGGCTGTCCAAGACGACAAACAAGGACCTGTGTGCAGAAAGACACCCCTAAGTCCAGCTCTGCCAGTCCTATGTATCAGGCATGGTGGCCAGCTCTGCCAGTCCTATGTACCAGGCATGATGGCCAAAAGACACCATGGAAACCCAGATTCATATGTGTGTATATGTATGTATGTATGTATGTATATATATATATATATATATATATATATGAGTGAGGAGAAAGAGAAAGGGAGAGGGGCGAGAGAGGAAGAGAGAGGGAGGGGGGAGGGAGGGAGGGAGAGAAGGAGAGAGAGAGAATGCATCACCACGTTGGGCTTCCAAACACAAGCACAGGAGGACAGGAGGGTCTCAACCTTGGTTTCTTGTTATAATTGTGGAGGAACAAAAAAAAATCTGACTTCTCTGTGAATCGCCTGGGCTCCACGCTGGGGGAGGGCCCTGAATCTCTCTTAGACTGTGGTGCATGGCCTCATAGCTGGTTTGAGAGAATGTGCACTACGTGAAATCAACAAAGCAGAATAGAATGTTTCTACAATAAAACTCCCATCTCAGGCATGAGCTGCTGCTGAGCAAGTGTACGCCACCATGCCGTCAGCCACCGTGGAGGTGTGGGGCTTCCGCCACTCCCTCCACAGTCCTTCACGCATCTGCCTCTCCCGCTACAGTCATTTCATCAAAGACGATACAGAGCTCCACGGCTGATCCAAAGCCTGCGAGCACTTTCACTCCCCACCAAATTAAGACCACTCCTAATGTGTCCTCCCAGGCTTTGGGCCTAACTTATTTAGAACGCCATGGGTGCGCTTATGCAATGGGAGGTCATATATGGGGGTGGGGGTCATGCTTACGTGACCCAGACTCCTACACGGGCCAGGAACTCCTGGGATCCAATGAGAAGGAGCTCACCGATCGAAGGAGCGATTGTGGGAGGTGACGCGGCTGCCTTGTATTTCCCTCGTCAGGTGCCAGATCACAGAAAATCGAAACAGGGCCTCCAACCTTGTTCCCTTGATTAGGAAATGCACAGGTGTGAGAAATCAGGTTTCCCAATGCTGTGTTCAGTCACAATGAGCCCATTTAAATAACAAATATGTGCTGTCAGCACCATAGCCAGGTGCAGTATTTATCTGGTGGGACTTTTCAGCAGGAAAGGGAAAACCCAGCACTCGCACTCTTTTTGACAGTGAAGGGCACGCTGAAGACTCAACTTTGGTCTATGTTCAGGGTCACCAGAGGAATGTGGTCTAAGGAAAAGCAGAGCATTGTTTGGAAGTGCCAGGCTGATAACCAGAAAAAACAAGGTTGCATTGGGGCAATCAAGGCTCAATAATTTTCTTGTTGTCAGTCGTGGGGCTTGAACTCTGGGCCTGGGCACTATCCCTCATCTCTTCAGCTCAAGGTGAGCACTCTACCACTTGAGCCACAGTGCCACATCCGGCCTTTTCTGTTTATGTGGTGCTAAGGAATTGAACCTAGAGCCTTATGCACGCAAGACAAGCACTCTACCACTGAGCCACCTTCCCAGCTCCAGTAATTTTTTTTTTTTTTTTTTGGTGCCAGTCCTGGGACTTGAACCTAGGATCTGGGCATTGTCCCTGAGATTCTTTTTCTCAGGGCTAATGCTCTACCACTTGAACCACAGAAACACTTCTGGCTTTTTCTGAGTGCTTTATTAGAGATAAGTGTCTCATAGACATTCCTGTTCAGGCTGGCTTCAAACCAGGGTCCACAAATCTCAGCTTCCTGAGTAGCTAGGATTACAGGTGTGAGCTGCCAGTGCCTGGCAAACTCTCTGTACAGCCTTTTTTCTTTTGTGAGTTGTGGGGCTTGGGTGCAGTCCCTGAGCTTTTTCACTGAAGGAGCCACAGTGCTACTTCCTGTTTTCTGGGGGTTAATTGGAGATATGTCTAGACTAGCATCGAAGTGTCATCCTCAGATCTGAGCCTTCTTGGTTGCTAGGATTATGAGTGTGAGCCACTGACACCTGGCTTTCAGTACGTTTTTCAAAAATTTATTTTTTCTGTGGTACCAATGAATCGAACCCAGGGATTCATGAATGCTAGGCAAGCATTCTACTAAGTCACATTCCTAGCACTCTCAGATCATTTTTAAAGGGAAAATACAGACAACACATTTTCAGTAACTGCTTGCTTTCCAGTACCTGCAGAAACCCTGCAATCCTGACTTGGCGTTGGGTGGGTTTCTCCAGGAGCCTTCATACACACATGAACATGCTTTTAGAACTCTAAAGAGGATGGCTTGAGCTCTCAGAAATCTTCCAGACTTGAAGTTCTTGAACACTTCAGCTCATGAATAAGGATAGCCACCGAGCCCAGTACTCTGGCTGGGTATGGCCAGGTCTTCCTGGGACATATGAAGCAGGGCTGCCCCAGCAGCAGTAGCGGTAGCCACAGATGGAAGGCTTACCTTGTCAGGGTCCAGGAGGGCATGGCAGATGATGTCCTCACAGACGCTGGCTGTGGGGGCCAGGCAATGCAGCCTGTAGAACAGTTCTACGCAGGTGATGTGGTGCTCCCGGCTCTCCTTGTTTAGCTGATTCCAAAGCACGCGAGCCACCCTCTGTAAGGAAAAGTGGGCAGGGCTATAGGGACACAGCTGATACCACTGTTCCCATCCTCCTCTCCATAGAGAAATCTCATCCAAAGAAATGCCAAAACCATGGCTGGGAATGTGCCTCAATGGTAGAGTGCTAGCCTAGCATGCATGACACCCTAGATTCATTCCTCAGTCACATAAACAGAAAAAGCAAAAGTGGCACTCAAGTGGTAGCTAGCCTTGAGCAAAAAAGCAGCTCAGGGGGCTGGGAAGGTGGCTCAGTGGTAGAGCGCTTGCCTTGCATGCCTGAGGCCCTGGGTTCGATTCCTCAGCACCACATAAGAAAAAAGAAAAAAGCCGGAAGTGGCTCTGTGGCTCAAGTGGCAGAGCGCTAGCCTTGAGTTGAAGAGCTGAGGGACAGCGCCCAGGCCCAGAGTTCAGGCCCCAAGACTGGACCCAAAAAAAAAAAAAGAAAAGCAGCTCAGAAATAGTATTCTGGCCCTGTGTTCAAGCCTCAGTACTGGCAAAAAACACAAATCAAAACAAAAAACCCCAAACCAGGTGACAGTAGCTCCTGCCTAAAACCCTAGCTACTCAGAAGATTGAGATCTAAGGATCACAGTTCGAAGCCAACGTGGGCTAGAAAGTCTGTGAGACTCTTATCCCCAATTAACCCCAATTAAAAACTGGAATGGAGCTGTGGTTCAAGTGGTAAAACTCTAGCCTTGAGAAAAAAAAAAAAGCTCAAGAACAGTAACCAGGTCCTGAGTTCAAGCCTTAGGACTGTCACAAAAAGTTGAGGCTTAATGAAAAACCTTCCTACTAGAAAATGCTGCTTTTAATTCTATAAATACCATTTCAAAGATTCACAGACAAAATTCTTTCTTCTTTTTAATTCCCTGGGTCTACAGTGAAATTCTGCCGAACAGTCTGATCTGCGTGGGACTTGAGCCATAAACCTCTCCATGTCGATGTCTTGCCCTAGCCCAACTTGCTGGAAAAATGACTGTCCACTGCAGACATGATAAAGACGCTTGGGTGATCTCTTCCCCCATGTTCCAGCCAAGGGCTCTGCGGAGTCCCTGGGAAGGCCACCAGCATGTTGCCATCCCACTCCTCTGAGCAGCAGAGGATCCACCCAATTGGGGGGGGGGAGATGGGGTGGAGATGGGGAGAGGGGGGCGTGTCATGGGCTCCCTGCCTCCGCACAGCCCGCACTTATATGCAGAAGATCCACTTAGGCACAGCAGGCCAAATAGACTGAGGCCTTAATTGCTCTCTCTGTAATTTGCTTACAGGGTGAAATTACGTGCAAGGAAAGGAATGCTCAGAACACTGGAGGCTGCTGCCTTGGCCCAGCTGCAGTGCAGAGATTGTGACAGAAACCAGAACGCACAGACCAGGCATTTTTGGGTCTCAAACAAACATTCTGATGGCTGTTGGAATGGCACAGTCCTTGTCTTAGCCAGTAAGCCTAGTGTTAGTGACAACCTTAAACAAATAGCCTAAGAAGGCCCTCACTACAGTCCTTTGTCTACCATACAAAATACCTGGTAGAAGTCTGTCTTCTCCGCGATGACTTTCAGTATTCCTGGAGCAATGGGGGGAACCGTCACCATCTGCAGCTTGCCGAAAAATGGATTGTGCCCGGAATTCTTGTATCGCTTCATCTTGTCTTCGATAACAAGTGCGAGGGACTGGGAATGGTTTATCACTTCCAGCAGGGTGGAGATGGCCACATTCTGCAGGTAGCAGTCATTCACACAGCAGCAAATGGTCATAAGAGATTTCAGCCAGGACGGAAAGCTAGAATCACTGGCTCCTGATTAGAGGCCAGCCACACAAAACAGAAATAGGCAAAGAACAAACAAACCAATCGGTGAGAAGGGGTTCCAAATTAATAGGCTCCATAGCACCCTAGACTGGGGAAGTGACTTCAGAGTCCCAATGGACAGTAGTGTGCTAACTTGTGGTGGTGACACTTCTTACAGTTGTAATCAAGCAACAATGTGGTCATCAGTGTGGCCTTATTCCAGGGTGACAGTGTCCTTGTGAAAGGAAGGTGTCACATGAAGACAGACATTGGAGCAACACAAAAAAAGGAAGGCTGAATACTGTTGGCCACCACCAGGAGCTTGGAGGCTGCGAGGAGGGGTTCCACCTAGAGTCTCACAGAGAATATGGCCTTGCTGACCACTTAAATTTGGACTGCTGGCTTCTAAGACCACAACACAGTTAAGTTTCTGTTGTTTAAGTCACTCAAGTTGTGGTCATCTGCTATAGCAGCTATGGAAACTGTTTCTAAATCTTGAACAATAGGAATCATGAAACAGTCTAAAGTTTTCCATTTCCTGGGATTCATTTCAGGAAATATTATTTTATATGATTAGAGGCACATAAGTATTGCACCTTTGTGATGAAACCATCTATTTACTGACTATTATTGACATCTTTAGTATGCTAGATCTTCTGATATCCCAACCATTGCCACCTTACTATGTGCTAACACATAAATCAAAAACATACACAAGGGCTGCGAAGTTGGCTCAGTGGTAGAGTGCTTGCCTTGCATGCCTGAGGCCCTGGGTTCGATTCCTCAGCACCACATAA